CTTAGGTTTTAAAAAAAAATATTCAACAGGCCCCAAAAGGTTTCTAGAGAATCAAATCCCATACAACCATTTTATTGAACTCCAAATTCCAGAAATTAAAGATACTGTGCACTGATAAGTATTCTCTTTAGAAGCCCAGTATTTCAGCTCAAAAGGCCCACCACTTTGGGGCCGAAGTCTTTTCTTTACAAACAGCCCAATAAAAGTACAACCCACCACTGCATGGGAATTCCACTAACTTGATAACTATCATCTATAGCCATGGCCCAACCATCTCATGCTCTTGTGTTTGGTTTTAGGGATATGGAGAGAGATTTGAAAAATAAAAATAAAAAATGTGTGAAATTAGGTAAAATATAAGTATATTTTATTCATATTTTTTTATTCTTTTTCTTTTTTCTTTTTGAATTCCTCTCAAATTTTTGAACCAAATACAACCTCAAAGTAATGTTTTTATTCATTAACAATTTGAAGACCCAAATTTTTTTGGGGTCAGTTAGTAAAAGATTAATTATAAATAGAAGAAACATCAGCCTTGTTTGGTTTATTTTTGAGAAAAAAAATAGAAATTAATTTGATTAAAATATAGACATAAAAAATATTTTTAAAATTTAACTATTATTTCTAACCTCACAAAAGACAAAATTATGTTAAAATAGTAAGTGTTTTTGATTTTTTATTTCTTTCACCAAATTAATTTTTAATTTAAAAATAAAATTTAAACAAATTTTTAAAAATTAAACTAAACATGACATCTTATCGAATTGAGCCATTAAAATCTAACCATAACTGAATGGTCGATAGCTACCACGTCCAATAACAATCAAAAAAAATAACTCAAACTTCCAATACGGACCAAGTCCAACCATCACCGCAAAAATTACGTACAACCCTTATAACTCCAATAACTACCACATAAATTACGTAGTTGACTCTCTCCATTATTAAAGTCATGATTAAATCTCAAATTTTTGCAGAGAAAAATGAAACGAGAAGGAAAAAGATAAAATTTTAGTTTTTTATTTTAGATAAATTATCAATAGAATCTAATAGTTGGATTTAATTTTCATTAAATCTTATTAAAAATAAATCTTAATAAAATTGTCGCTAAAAATAAATTTGTGACATTTTTTTGCACATGTCACTAAAAATAAAAATTGACAATTAGTGATTTTTTTATCACGGTATTTATAAATTGTTACTAAAACTTACAATTAATAACGTTTTCTGTGACGAATTTTTCAATCTTTCGCTAAAAATTGAAAATTAGTGACTTTTTTTGTGACGATTTTTTAAAACTGTCACTAAAACTTATATTTGGTGATTTTTTGTGATAATTTTCAAACTGTACCTGAAAATTAACAATTAGTGAATTTTTTTAATGGTGTTTGATGAAAATTGCCATTAATTTTCATAGGACCTATTAGATAATAAGTCCACTTATTACTTTCTTCTATGTATCATATCTCAAATCCAAAATCTAAAGACAACTAAACAAATGAAATCATATTACACTACTCGTTCTATAAATGCAATTCAAGCTATTAAACTTTATTGGACATGAACCACTACATTTATTGAAAAAAAAAATCATAAAAAAGTAATCCCACACGTAGTCACAAACTAAAGTATATGGTACAGATTATAAATCTGATCCACGCACTTCATTTTCTACTTACTCTTTAGAATACTTTTTCTGACTCATAATTATTTAGGCCAACATAATAAAATGTAAATCATACTTTCTTTGCCCAAGATTCCCTAATCACCATTCTTCCTCCATGTGGATGGAATGCTTTGTTCATGCCTAAAGAAATTGCTAGGATCGACCTTGCTCTTGACTTGCACCAATCTATCGAAATTGTTGTTGAAATATTTGGAGCCCCAAATGCTTGCTTGTGCATAGCTTGTGTTTCCCAATTTGTTGTTCACTCCCACATCAAGATCTCTATAGTTCATATATGCAGCTCTTGGAAACTTTGAAACATAGGGAGCCATGTAACTATAATGCCTTCTAATCCAATTTATATGCCTTCTGGAAGCTTCTTCTCCCTCTTTTTGCCAAGACACCGAGTGTTGGATTTTGTAAATATTCCCAACCCTATGTGGGAAAGGAATTGAAGACTCTGAAATCTCATCCATTTTTCCACCATATGGGCTAAAGATCATCTGAGCCGTCTCTGCCTCTTCTTCATAAAAGTTTTTCCAAATCTTCTCCCACCCAGTCTCTGGAATGGGCTCCTTCACATAGTCTGATTTTGCTTTGAAGTATGACACAGATGTTTGAGTCCTATTCAACAAGACTTCAAGGGGTTCTCCATTGGTAAAACCATGGAAATAAAGGATCGATTTGATCCAGCTCATTTCAGTGCAGTCTTGTTTTGTCAATCCCAACTCAGGGAAGCTTTCTTGCATCAATGGGATGAGCTTGTCAACTCCACCAAGGTACAAAGACTGGAATGTAGCCTGGATTGTTTTTTTCTTCCCATCTTGGCCTGAATTCACTCCCTTTACGAAGACTCTAATGAATAATTCATGAGGGAACTTGTGGGCAATGTATTGCCACTTATGAACAAGATTGGTTGCATTTTGCTCTAAAGTCCTGTCAAGTGTGAAAACAGTGACAGTTGATGGAACAACCACCAACTTTACTTTCCATGATAGAATGACTCCAAAACTAGCCCCTCCACCTCCTCTAATAGCCCAAAAAAGGTCTTCACCCATGGATTTTCTGTCAAGAATGTTGCCATTAACATCGATAATGCGAGCATCGATGACATTATCAGCAGCAAGGCCATACTTTCGCAACAACGCGCCATACCCTCCCCCACTAAAGTGTCCACCAACCCCAACAGTAGGGCAAACACTGGCAGGAAAAGCTAGGGTTTTACTTTTCTCAGCAATTCTATAATAAAGTTCCCCAATATGCGCGCCAGATTCAACCCAAGCAGTGTTGTTTTCAGCATTGATAGTGATGGACCGGAGGTTTCTAAGATCAACAATGACAAAAGGGACCTCGGAAACATAAGAAAGACCCTCATAGTCATGGCCACCACTTCTAACCCTAATTTGCATTCCATGATTTTTGGAACAATAGATAGTTGCTTGGATTTGCGATTCATGCAATGGTGTGATAATGACTAGAGGTTTTGGTGTTGATGGTTCTGTGAATCTCAAATTTTGTATTGAGAATTGCAAGATAGATAAATATGAAGAGTTGTTTGGAGTGTAAATTAGTTTTGAGATTGAGGTTGTGTTTGGAGAATGAAGGGAAAGACATTGGAGAAAATCTTCATGAGTATGAGCCCATGAAGTTGAAAAAAGAAGAACAAAAACAAGAGAAAGCAACAAGGTGGTGGTAGTCTTCATCTTTGTTGTTTTCTAGAGTTAGTGCATAATAAGAGGATACAAGTTTAGCTATTTATAGTTAGCTGGTTGCCATGAAAACTAAGATAATGTGAACCCTGGATTCTTCATCTTTATTGTTTTAGAATTTTGTGCCATATATATGACTATTCTAACCACTGCGTCATGGCTTTCCTTATCAAATTGGGCCGCATAAAATTCCTAGCTAGCCAAATACGAAGCAACCTTCTTGCATGGCATTTGACATTTGAAATTTGACCAATATTACAATAGTTGTTCTTGGCATGCATTTGAGAATTAAAATTAAATAATATGTGATCCAAATTTTGCCTCGAAGTAACAATGTATAATTCAAATTCGTTCTATGTATGGACCTTACGAAACGCTAATTAATCTCAATCACATTTTTCAATTCTAGATGAAATGCTTGACAAATATTCTGAGTGAATAACTTTATTGATTGAAATTTGACCAATATTACTACAGATTTCTTATGAAATCTTATACATCTTCCCCCCCCCCCAAAAAAAAAAAAAAACCACCCCACAAAATCAATATGTTGCGTAAGCATTTTGGCTTTGTTACAAAAGTTAGGAAATTTAAAAAATTTTAAAAAATGAAATTTGACCAATATTAAACATTTTATTTTATTTTTTGGATTTTTTTTTCCTGGAAAGAAAAGAGAGATGGAGAGTAACGGATATTATTACCTTTGAATACTCAATAGAGGATTATTGTGTTTTCATATAATTATTACTAGCATATCATCCGTGCTATGCACGGGTTGTATTTACAATTATCTATATATGTGAATTGTGATTTTTAAATATATTTTTTTAAATGTCTTTTTTTTTCCAGAACCACAGCCACCACAGTAAAGCAATTTAAAAAGGAAAATTATATCTATATAATGACATCCAAGACAATATGAAGCAGCAAAAGTCAATGTCAATGTCGATGCCCAAAATCACCATCTTATTCCTTTGATTTACTTTTCCAAAATAACAAGAGACTAAAAACTCCATATAGTGGTTTTGCTCTATTGATCAAATGACTGACCGCAAAAATTGAGAGCAAACATTAACTTAAAATTTTCGAACAAGGGACCAAGTGGTCCTACAATATTCTATCCTTACCTTGAGAGCTAATACTAAATGCTTGCGGTTGACATTCCCAACCTCCATTTCCAGAGGATTTTTATCCATGGATTATGAGCTTCTTGTTCTAAGCAGCTTCTAAAGAATGGAGGCTCGTAATCCACAGGCTGCAAGATCAGAGATTACTCCTGTGCAGAATCAAGTGCTCTTTTACTTGTGATTTTCATAATTTTTATGGTTTCATGATTCATATTGTGATTTATTTGATTCAGATGATTGCATTGACTTTACTTCCATTTTAATCATCATAGATCTTTTCCTCCATTCTTGATGGTACGAATGTGACAAATGTAAATTTTCAAGTCTGAATTGTCCAAGTCTAAAAGTTGCAAGTCTGAACTGTTGGACATGTCTACTATTCTGTTTCTTTTCCTTTCTACACTTGTCTTTCTGCATGGTTTTCTTTCTTTCTGCATTTTCATTGTTTATGTTTTTTTACTTAGTCCATCGTACAACCCATTGAGCTGACTCTACTACTTACAGAGCATGGGAGAAGACTGCAAGTTCTCCACTATGAAGTTGGGTAGAAATATGAGCCTCATTATGACTATTTTCTTGATGAGTTCAACACTAAAAATGGGGCCAACGGATAGCGACACTACTCATGTATTTGTAAGAGTTGTACCTCCACTTCATTCTTTTTTGTTCACTCTGTACAATGTTGAAGCTTTGCACTAAAATGCATCTTATATAGAATTTTTTTTTTCCTTGTGACTTCATTTTCTTTTGCTATTGATGTAGGTCAAATGTAGAAGAAGGGGGTGAGACTATCTTTCCTGTAGCTAAGGGAAATTTTAGTGTTGTGCCGTGGTGGAATGAGTTGTCTGAATGCGGTAAAAAAGGCCTTTCTGTCAAGCCAAGGATGGCGACGCTTTGTTTTTTGAATCGGTAAATGTCCTAGTGTTTCTGTTCCATTAATGGAATGAAATTATTACTGGTGAGATCTTCCAGTTTTCAGGCCAAGGTCCTCAAGAACTCACCCATTTGACACAGGACATTAAGAGGTCTTTGTTTGTCAGGAAGACTGAAAGAAGCAATTGGGTTTACTCTGGCGTGCAGGATTACAGGTGTTCCCTGAACCTATTCTCTTCTTTTACAAGAAAGTATATTCAGGAAACAATATAGATGGGGAAGGAGAAAATTTAGTGAAAATTAAATTTTTTCTCCCACAAATTAAATATCTCAATTAGTTCTTGTAGGTAAAGTCTTCAAAATTGTTGAGAAGAGAATAAATTTAAAAATATAGATGAGTTTTTGGGATGTCTGGAATAGTGAAATAGACAAACAATTTGGACGGAAGGAACATAAAGTACAAGAAATCATGACTATATAGGAGATGTATACCCTTTGCACTCATTACACGTACAATACACAAATGAATTTAAATGACGTACTAATGCCTTTTTCATTTTGTTTCCAATGAGATCTATAAATTATCAGCTGCTTATGTGTCTTGGTCTCTTAGCTTGCCAAAGTCCTACATTATAAGCAATATATGGTTTAATTTCTCAACAACATAGTTGTAATGATATTGATGTTATATGGTATTTTGCTCATTTAAGTGCATTTCTTGCAGTTCATCGGGAATTATCAAGAAACCATTGGCATCAAGACTGGGTGGGGTGCGGGTAAGGGAAAACTTATTTTTTTCTTTCTCATGTTCTCTATCAAATGAAATTAGATTAGTGAAGTTTAAATGACCAAAAGATGAATTTATTATTTATGTAAATTTAGAATATCGTACTGGTTTTCCATGACATCATCAAATTTTGGATTTTCTATACCTTTAAAGCGCTCAAGTTTTATTAGTGGATGGTACTCAACAGTTTGAATTTTGATACAATTTAAAAGCTTTGCTTTTGACTGCCAGATTTTTTATTGATTTCTGTATCAGCGCACTATAGTGATGAAACTCCTCTACTATGATGATGTCATGGTATGCGTTTCAGTTAATTAGATTTTTGTGTACTTCATCTTTCAGATCATTGGATATCCTTGATTAAAGGTATAAGAAATCCAAAATTTGATACTGTTCCCATGAAAAGGCTGAGGAAATAATTAATGCAACTCATAAGCACTAGTATCTGCATATGATTTCCACAAATTAGCATCTTTTGTGGTTTGTTCTATTAGTTGTCCAATGATATTAGCTAATTATAAAATTATCTCTATGCTATTAGAATTGTGTTCTTTTTAAACTACAGTTTTGTTGGCATGAGAAATTCTGGTAAAGATAGGGACATTTGAATCTTACAGATGTTGGGTGTTTTGGCTTGTCATTATCCCAATAATGCATCTAAAAATCCTTCTCCTCTCTCTGTATTATTTTGACACAGAAAATATAGTCAACTCACACATTGATTC